TTGGTGTTCCTGGTGGCCAGACTCATGTGTCCCAAGGGTGCTTTTACTTTTGCACTTGTTCATGAGATTCTCTCACCTTGAGAACATGTAGGAGGGTGCACCATCCCCTTTCATCACAGCAATTATCTTTGACAGCCGTCAAAGGTAGTGTTCCATCTTTCAGGTGACTCTAGGAAAGGCTTAAAGAGTCAGGCTGATGGGGGATAGCAGTCAATGCATTGCTGGAAACCTTGAATTCTAAATTAGACACTTAGCATGTGACTTTAATAATCAGGGAACAAAATGCTTTTTGAAGGAAAGCCTTTTTCACTCAAGTGCTTACCAAACCTTGATAGAACTGTTGACCAAATCTAGCCCTTTGGGGTTCCCCAGAAGGCCTTATCTCCTTTCTCTGCCCCTCTCCATTTGCCCGTCCCCCATCACTTATTATTTTCCAAGATTATGAATGTCTCCAATTCTAAGAGGTTAAGCTTGTCTCTTAATGCTGAGTTCCCAGGAGAAGAAATTTAAAGCTAAACGAAGCTGGTATTTTGCTCAGGTTCCTGCCACCCTGGAATGTATCCCTCAGGAGCTGCTCCAGAATGGAATTCACCCCTCAAGCAGAACAGGGGCAATACCTCTGCTTTGACAGGGGATTTAAAATCAGATCTACACATCAAAGTTTCCCTTTCAATATGCTTGCTCAAATCAAAAGACGGGAGAACTGCCAGCACTGTGTTGTGCACAGTTATCGCTGAGGGTTAGGATCCCTGCTCAGACATGAAGTTAGATGGCTGTTCTTGGGCCAGCCAGACCTTGACTCATTGCAGAGATGTTAGGAAGGCAAAAGAAGGAAGTTGCAGTGACTGTCACCTTGAGTTTCTTGAAGGAAAGCAGGTTAATGATTCATCCAAAATCATTAGGGAGGCCCTTTTGGTTCCAGGGTGGGCAGCAGCCCTGCAGGTGCAGTTCCACCAGCTGAGCTTTCAGTGACTGGACGAGTCTGAACTCAAAGACTTCTGATCATCCCAGTTGGTGGGACCAGTGGAGGCAGACATCACCTTCGTATTCTCATACCCTGCATTTTCAACTAGGTTAGCTTTTTGCCCGTCTGGTGACAATACACCGGAGGGGATGGGGAGGAGGATGAGGAGCCTCAGGAAAGCTTATGCCCAGGCCTTTCAATCTCCTTCTGTTCCCACTGACCAAAACACTCCCTTTCTTCTGTTTCCGTTGTCACTTTTCTATCCTCTGAGGGCAACCCATGCATGTTCTTTTCTTGCCAATCCTCAACTTCGCCTTCTGAGTCAGAGCCCTTTCTATGACCTTGGAGGGAGGAATTGCTAAGTATCCTGTGTCTTCTCAGCTACTGCCTGGGACACATAGGATTGCTACCTCAGTTGGCAGTAAGCCCCATGGAAATGTATAGGTTAAAATCGCTAGGTGTATTTTCCAGGGCTCATACAAACAAGGAACTGTAGAAAGCATAGCATTGCTCCTGGGCTGAGCAACAGCATCACCACACTGGGAAGTAGTGAGCCAGTTCTGCCATAAGTGTGAAAAACCACTAAGGTTGCAGACCTACAGTTTCTGGGAAGTGTCTCTCCCTCTACATCTGTGGGAAAGCAGACCCATGGGCAGAAAAGAAGATCTGCTCTACGTGTCTCTTTGTTTTGGGCATGTAACTCTCCTGAACTTCAGCAGAACTTCCCTTGCTGCTGAGGCAGAAGAGTAAATAAGGAACCAACCAGGGGTCTATTGGATCTGGCAGATCCAAAGCCTCTTCTTCACCTGACACACACCCAGAATGGATGTAAGGAGAATACACCATCCCTAACGTTGGCATACTTCCTTCCAAACATCCCATCCCATTTCACCTTGCCGGCATGAGCTTTACTTGGACATAGCACAAAAGTTTAGGAAGGAAACATCAGAACAGAAATCAGCCAGACATGGAAAGGAGAAACAAGGAAGGACATGTGTGGGAATCCCATGGGCAGATAGGAAAAGAACAAACTAGGCACATGGTCCGGGGCCCAATTCTGCACAGCTTATCATGATTAAGTTCCATCATCAGCAAGAGAACCAGATATAATGCCACGAATGTCCACTGAATTAAAAGAGAGAAAACTGCCACTAAGGGCTCTCTACATGAGGTAGAGGCCTTTGGCTTCCAGATGGCTTCCTCCTTACACCCTGCCCCCGTGGGTTTTTTGTTTCTGTCTAACATTGCACAAATGTGAAGCGGAGATATGGTACGACATAATTGCAAATCTACATGAGTTTCTCATTCTGATTCATTCCACCATTTCCAGATGGAGCTGCATTTTCATCTTTCTAAAAAGCCTTAGAGATGCTTGGGAAGCACCAGAGCAACCCTGGAAGAGTATACTGCAAACACCTGCAAACTACCACAACCAAGGAATCATGAGCATTCAATAAATTGTTCATGTAAAAGATGTCCTAAATTTTTCTGGATGTTCCCCTATTTGTGTAAAGTGCAATTCTCAAGGGAAAGAAAAAGCCGCAGTCTATCTTTTCTATATGTCAAGTGAAGTACTGAGAAGCAGGGAGGTGTAGTGGCTAAGACTGCGGGATGGGGCTCAGCCAATTATAGTTCAAGTCCCCACTCGGCCATAGGGCCAACTGGGTGACTTTGGCCCATCACGGACTCTCAATTGCAACCCTGTAAGCCCAACCTACCTCACAGGGTTGCAATTGTGAGGATGAGATTGAGAGCAAGAGGAGAATGATGTAAGACACTGTGAGTCTCACAAAGGAAAAAAAAAGGCAGGATATAATAAGTATATAAATAAATAGGTTGCATAAAAACATATCTTTTTTCTGAATGTACATTCACTCATTTATTTATTTCCTTATTTGTTTATGGTATTGATATCAGATTTTATTGCCAAAATGGTCTCAGGAAGACTTACAAAGATGCTAAAAATCCAACTAAAATAGAAAATTAAATAGCAATGGGACTATAAACTATGAAATGGGACTATATAGAAGCAATAGAAACATATACAAACACATACATATGCACAAAAATGTAGAAAACAATATAAACTATAAAATCAGACTTTAGGTTATAAATGCAATTGGATAATAAAAGAGGACAAGTACGTAAACATTCAGCTAAAATAGTTATCCTATGGCCCCCAGGCAGCATCTAAAGGACCAAGGGAATTTTTAGATTCTCAGTTCCAAGGTCAAAAAAGAGCTCCAGCCTTGGATCTGGGGATGTGTGCTCAGCTCGCCCTCCCTCCTCTCACAGCTGGCACAGAAAGAACTGTGCTCACTGCTTGTCAGAGGTCCTGAGGTCAACCTCAGAGAAGATACTTAGAAAGAAAGGAATAAATTGGCCCGCTGAGATATGACATCTTCTGTTGGTATCTCAGTCTCCTTCTCTCCCCTTCTCAAGCAACAAAAGAGATGACTTTTCAGGAGATGAGGAGCACAGATTTCCCATTATCCTCCAAATTTGGAATGGCTGTGGGCATCCCCATTACATCATGCCTTAAAGGGCCTCCAATGCAATTTTAAAGATCTGAAAGACACAACAGAACAAAACAGACTGGTGCCTTAAGCACCGTAAGAGGGAGTTTGGCTGCCATTGCAGAAAACTAACCTCTGAAGACAGGGGCACCCAGGGAACAGACTCTGTTTCCGAAGGCCCTGGAGAACTGATGCATGCAAGTTCATTTTCAACATTCTCGTCCAGCTGACTGGAATACAGAATAGCTATGTGTCCTATTTTACAGGCAGTAGTTCTCTGTTTGAATGGCTTCCAGAATCCATATCTGCTTTAAGATAAAGTACCATAAGAAGGAAAAAGGAGTAAACAGAGGTTGCCAATCAGCAGTTTGCACCTAGATAGCCATCTCAGCAGACAAACAGGTGATGGGCTTTCAGTCTTCCCTATTATTTGTATTTTGATGTATAATTATAAAGATTTCTAAATGTATATGCAACTGAACAAGTATTACAGTCTTGTGCAACTTTGCACCCACTTTTTGTTCCCTCTTTCAAAAATGGATAAAAAGCCATTGTGCTTTGGGAAAGTCAGATCTTTAGGGAAAGGAAAGTTTCATTTCAATGTGGTTTGAAAGGGACCACCATCATGAGCCTATATATTCAGAAACGTTGGGCCTATTCCTATGTTACAAGGGCACCATATTGTAGTCCAAGACTGAAGTCCTATTTGGGAGAAAACCTAACTGAATGAATTGGCTCCAAGTAAATCTGTACAGAAGTCTTCCCCAATCTGATATATTGAAATGACAAGTCCTATCACCCTTGACCATTGCCCAGAGCTGATGTGACCTGGATTCCCACAAGGCCTGGAGCAAATCAGATTGGAGAAAGCTGATGTGCAGGATGAGGCTAAATCTTTAACAGCAAATGCGTCTATGAAAGCACAGAACTGCTCTTTACAAAAAATACACAACCTATCAGTATCCTGCATATGAATTTGAAACAACTCTCTTTTCCCTGAAGAGAAATTAGCACAATACTTAGGAGCAGAGTTTTAAATGTGATGAAGCCTCAATCAGCAGATATAGAATCAAGAACATAAACACAGAAGAGGGCTAACCCTTGCAAAAGCAACTATCTGTTGGGTCCCCACCACAACTCCATCTGAACAATTGCTTTCTAGCAATCCAGAATGAATTGATTTTAGAATCTACTTCCTGTAAATGGAAAGATTTGTCACATGGAAGCTTCCTGTGCCCTCTCCCCCTCACCACAGCACAACCCATTCAGAAGGGTCCTCTAATGCCTAGGGAGCATTTTCAAAGAGGTGGAGAATTCTGCTCCCACCGGCCCACATGCACACACTTTCATCTGGATTCAATCTGAAATTGCCTGTGGAAGTGAAAGCACAGGAACTGCTCAGTCAACAGGTGAAGGAAGGAAGGAATTCAAGGAATCAAGAGTAACAGGTGACGACTATGTCAATCTATGGTGACTTCAGAAACCAGGAAATAGATAGAGGTAAGGATGTACAGTCTCATTTGAGAATAGTGCTGTATTTTATTGCTTGTGTACTAGCAGGTTATTCTGGGCTGCCTAGATGAATGCATTTTGAAAATGATTACTTGTATTCTCATTTTTGTCCACCCACTGCCAGATGCAACAATTCATAGCACAGTCCTATATAGGTCTCCTTCAAAGGGAAGTCCAATACAGTTCAGTGGGGCTTACTCTCAAATAACTGCAACCGCAAATGGATACTCCCAAGCCCCACCACATACACCATTTGCTTACCATTTAAGCTACCTGAAGTTTTAAACTACAAATTTCCATTGCCATTCACTGTTCACTGTCTTGTCTTTGGATCCTGAGTTTTCATGTTAGCATTTGATCTTCTAAAATTGAAAACCTGTTTCTGCTATCCAGATGTTCCTTGAGTCCTCCACTCTTGGTCAGGATATCCAGAAGTTCACTGCACATCTGCAATAAAGACAAAGACTTACTTAATCCAAAATTCATGACTACAACAACAAATAATTGTTTTTATGAAAATGAATGAAAAACGATTCAATTGGAAATCTTCAATTTAAATCTATTTCAAAATAGACCATCAAGAACAATGAGGGGGAAAGTGGCAGCTTGATTGTGTGAAGATGGTATTTGTCTTTCACCAAATACTGATGCAAAGAAATCAAATGCTCTTCATCCACTAGTTAATTATGTTGCTAACCAAACTGTACACATACCTTTTAAAAGGCAAGGTACAATTAGGCGAGCCCAGATAATCGGTAGGGCTTGGCTATAATGTCAGATCTTTTTACAAATGCAGTTTTGAATGTACTTGTTCATTAGAATTGACTGAAAGCCAAGCTGCACATCAGAATCACATGCGTGAGCTCTTGCTAGATCATGCAGATACAGATTGGGGGTGACAGGTTAAAAGCTTGGATGCCCCACCAAGCCAAAAACAACATAACACACACACTGCTTTGAAATATGAAATTTCCCACCTGTATTCTGAAATGTTTCCATCCAGCAAAGTTGTACCACGTGGTCTTGCTACTATTATAGCGTTGCTAAATTTTGCCTCATTCTGTTGTTTGCAAGGGGCCAATGCAGGCCTAACTTTAGCTCCTTGCAAACCATAGTTTGCACACTGACAGTTGGTTTCAGGAATATGTTCCCCTCCTTCTTTGCTTGAATCTGCCCCTTCTTTCATCTGCTTTAACTGCGCTTAACATTACATCTGGTGTGAACCTTTCTAACATTGACCAAAGTTGGAAGAGTCTTCATGAACTCTAGTAAAGAAGAGACCCTGGTTAGAATTAACTAGGAGTGGTATCAGTGCTAATCAGGGTGACCATTTTCTTATTTTAGAGACAACTGGACTCTATTTTGAAAGCATCCTCTGTTTGCAGGACGGTGTTTTCCACAGTGTAAAGATAAAGAATGGTGAGAGGTTAGGGGAGCAGGTCCCTTGAAGGCACCCAGCAAATGTTAGCATTTGCAGAGCATGCCACACATGCAGGCCACGGGTCAGCTTGTCACTCACTCACTCAGCATTAGGAAATGGTATTTTTCTTTTCCCCAGTTACTCCCAACAGGGGACTCAAGGAGAAGGTTTTCACGAGAGGGCAGAGAAAGCAGGACTCAGGAACAGTGCAGGTTTAAATATGGGCTGAGCAGGCTCCAGCCCAAGGCCTCCAGGGCCACCTTGGCCTCCTGCCATTTTTTTTAAATCACCATTACTTTTATTTAATTTGTAATGATGATAAATCAGGGCCATATCTAGGCGAAAGATCATTTTCTAAACTAAGAAGGATAGAGAATGGTCTATGGTCAACCATGTCCCCAGATCAGTTGTCTGATCTAAAGCATTCTCTGCACAGAAAATGTTAAACTGCAATGTACTGATCTTAAGTTTGCATCCAAAAAAGCTAAAAAAAGACCCCTATATTGACTTTGAGTATGGTGTAATGTTATAACATAGCTGTGATTCTCCTATGAATGTTCTGTGTGAATGTCTTCATTAATTCCATACTTTTCTAAACTTATTATTAAAGGTTATAAATTTATGAACAATCTTATCAGTGCTAAAATTTCAGCAAAGTTCTACTTTCATTGAGTAGATAAAGAAGAGAAGGAGGCTTTTTTTCTCATGATCAGATGCTATTAAGCTTGGGTCTCCCAAGGTCTCCTACCCCAGGGCCTCCAGTTGCTTTAATCCAGGACTGGCAGGAAGTGTGTGTTCTCAAGGCTCATTTTGAACTGGAAAGCTGTACACTGCTGGGAGATAATGCACTACCGTAAGGTCATGCTGAATGAAGAATTATTCTGCATACTCAACAAGCAACAGCAGCCAACTTTGCTCGGAGCCTTTTTGTGTTTGATCAGTTTACCCTCTTTTTGGCTAAGAACAGATTGGATTCAGCAATGCCTTTATGAGAGAACATACAATCTAGAAGGGGTTTTGTCCAGAAGAACATGGTGCTTGAGAGGTATCATTTGCCCAGTTTGGCAGTATTAACGAGTAGTGATACTGTTGCAGCCAGATTAAGGAGGAAGTTTGAGAACAAGCCATGATGTGTGAATTGGACCATTCTGTGCTCAGTTTTAAAAGTGCAAGGGCACTAGACACAGAAAATATGGTAAAACCATTGGAGCTTTCTTTGTGCTTCCCACTAGACCACCAACAGTGTACGAAAGGACTGGATCAGACCTATCCACAATTAAAATAAAAACCACCCCCCACTTCAAAATACTAGATTAAAATCACATTTTTGAATATACTTTCTCCCTTTTTTCTGGCTGAACCCAGAAGGACATGCTGGGTTGGATCCAGGTTTATTCCTATTTTATCTAAATCGCAATAAAAGAAAGGCCTTTGGCAGTTATAAGTAGCATATAAATATGTGAATGAATGGATGAATTCATTGTAGCATATCTCGTGTAGCATATGCAAGTTTTACACAAATCATTATCCACTTTTTCAATACCACATAAGTGGCCACTCTATGGCTTGACTAACTTTTGACTAAATTGACTCATTGATTAATTTTAATGAGTCTACTTGAAGTATCACCAAGTCTGGACCCAACCCATTTGCTATATATCCACCCATTTCTATGAATGGCTTTGCAATTTGCACTGTAATTATAAAGGCATTATTATACTATAAAGAATAACCTGGGTACTAAAGAAGAGGCTCTTCCCCATACTTGTGTGTACTGTGGATGTTGGTGTTTATTTTAGTATCTTGCAGCAGTCAATTCAAGCAGGTCGAATAGCCACAGGAAGCATTGAAAGAAAGACAGGACAGGATAGCAAGTGGGAAATTATGACAGAAAGCAGCAATCACACATTGCAATAGAACAACCAATTCTTGTTCACCCCGGCTTTTTTGGATGCAGAAGGTGTGCAGGCCTGGTAGCTAGCAGGGCCAATGTGAATTTAAAAATGCACGCAAAGGCATATAATTCAATAATTGTTCTGTGGAATAAGATCTACAACTGCTCCATTCCTTTGTTCTTGATGTACGGCTTGCTTTGCATGAATAACAATGAAGGCATAAGGATGTTACTAGTAATCAGAAAATGGTCTGCAGACACCATGTGGGCATCCCCTGCATTATTACTGTGGTTTGTATTCAAGGACCTCCCAGGTTCACATTTCCAAGAATAATTCCTCCTGCTCTCACTTCTCACACAGGCAAGGACAACACTGTGATTCACTGAGGTGGACACAGCCCCACAAGCCACCCTGGGCAGCCTACCAGGTCCTCGTGCCACCATGGTCCTCATTGGGTCCATGGCCCTGCCCCATATCTGCAGTCAGGAAAGGCAGAAAACATATCAAGGCCTTCTTCTAGCCTATCAGGCCAACCTCTGTGCAGCAGTTATTCTTGTGAAACTGAATGGTCACTCAAAAGAAGTGAAGCTAATGTGTTCCCCACCCCTGGCAAGGAAGGTCTCCACCATGCACATGCGGCTGAATGGCCACTGCTTTTTATTTTAGCGTCTCCCAAAGTTGGCCCAGCCCAAGTAAACTGATGCCTTTTCAAAGGAGGGTGTCATTCATGGGTCTCCTGGCAATCCTGAGTTTCTCACCACAAATTGCACACAAAGGTAAGCAGATGACTCTGGGTTTTATCCCACAAGGCAATCCTAACACCATCCTAATTACTTCTGTGTAACAAGTATAGATACCCCATAAGATGTGGCAAATGTGTTGAAACAGGCAGTAAATTCCTTTTGTAAGAGACAGGCATGTGTTCATTTGGTATATATCAGCACATATATTTATAGGCTGCCTAGGAAGCCCTGGGAGGACTATAAAAACATGGAAAAATAAATTGTGTGCATACATATATTCTGGGCCTTCACACATAGATTTTGTGCAGGGAAAAGACATGTGTGCCTTTTGTGGAAAGTGGCTGTGATTTTCCTGATAAACTAAAGGGTACCGGATGATCTCAGCAGGCAGAAGGTTAGAGAGAATGCTGATAGGCCAGGACAAGGACAGCCACCGTCAGGGGCTTTGCTGATCTCAGGATAGTGGTCTGCAAGCAAGAAGGGTGTGCTGTCGTACTAGCGACCTTCTCATGGCTTGCATGGCTGCGTGATCAAATTAGGGCAGCTGGCAGCAAGCACTTCAGTGTTACGTAGCATACTTGCCAGATATGCCCAGTACATCTCATGAAACTCCAAAAGAGTTGTAATATTTGGCATGTGGAAACTCATTCCCATGCTGTTTAAAAATAATCTCTCATTAGTCATAATCAGGGCTTTTTTTGTCATAGAACGCAACGCAACGGAACAGCGTTCTGGCACCTTTTTTCAATGGATTTTACCAAGTGATTTTGAAAGGAGTAGCAGATCAGCAGCAAACATCATTAACACAGTGCCTGCAGGCTGCTATTGTGTCTGCTATCTGTGATCTGATAGTGAGAGAGAGCTGTGTGGGACGCTGCTCAGCTGCTCCCTGCTCGGCTTGGGATTGGTGTTTGTGCTTACTACCAGCGGGGACCTGAGTTCCGGCACTTTTTTTTTTTTTTATACAAAAAAAGCACTGGTCATAATAATGGCTTAGCTATCTCTAGCTTGGCTATCATCAGCTGCAGAATTGTCCTGGTAGCTGGATGACCGAAATAATATGAAAAGGGATAGATCATATCCAATGTTAACCCACCTTAGATTAGGCATTGAGATGAATGGGATTTAAGTTGGCATTGGACACAACCCAATGTAAGGATACTAAGGTGGAAAGTTTTGGCCTTCCTTTAATTATTCAACCAATATTGCCCAATCAATCAATTAAAAAGAGAGATAGTATAAAGTTGTAGAACTATGAAACAAGAAGCATCCACTACATTCCAAAGAGATGTTCCATCATAACAGAAGACTCATAATTAGGCTCTAAGAAGGTATGGTCAGTCCACTGAAGATCACTCGGTTCAATATTATTCACACACACCCACACCA